CAGATTTAAAGAGGAGAGAAGATCAAATGAGTAATGATTATTTACATAACTGAGACCAAGGTTTTAGGTTTTGATCAGAGTTGGATATGTGCGACCTTGAACATATGGAAACGCTCAGGCAAATGGTTTTTGTATTATTGACTTTTTACAATTGGAAATTAATCTATTTTCTTTGTGTTTTTGCAGTTACTTTATTGGATTCCAGATCTGTTCAGGGAGAACTTGGATGGATAGCAAGTCCTCTGGAAGGAGGGGTAAGTTCTGAGTTGCTCTCTGATCCAAAGGGTAAAAAAAGGAGTGATTAGCAACTTTCTGAGAATCCTAATGGCTTGATTCGCCTTGATTGTGGAGAGGGGGTCAGATTTCCACTGTGGCCTATGAAGTGAATTACGCTTTGTTGGGGAAATCCTATACTCCCTTTGGATAGCTCTGTCATGGAAGAACTAGAAACCAAAAGGGCAGAAAGGGTTTCAAAATTAGGAGATTGGTGGAGGCATAGACTTAGATGCCTATTTAAAACTAAAATACCCATAGGAAATATGATCCGCAGACCAAATTTGAATTTATACCTATTACTGTGATGGCCATGGAGTACTGATGGGGTTAATTTTAGATCAATTGTTCTGCTTCCAGATGAGAAAACTGAATAAATAGGGATACCAGAGAGAAAACATTTCTAATTGTACCTGAATAAGCAGCGGAGAAGCTCCTTACCCTAAATCAGCTGCTGTTCTCTTCTGCACACTGAGAGAAAGGCACATGAACCTGTGTCAGGGGCATACTGTATGCAGAGAATCTCAAAGCTTGTGCATTGTTGCTGTTAAATGTGAAAAGTTTAAGTGTTTGGAATCCTGGATCTTTGGGGCTCCAGGAGGCTGGATTATAAAGTATGAGCACATCACTGTTCATTTCTTCTCGAATTTATAGCACTTCCCACCACTGCCCCCATGGGAAGATTCAGAGAATGTTACTAGGTCAATGGCCACATTCTCCTATTCCCCTTAACGACAAGTCAGAAAGAATCAACTTTGGAAAGAAATCAGTACAACATGTGACTAATTTCTGCCAAATTGAAATAACTCTCGAATTCTTTAAAAATTAAGCAAATCATCCTTCCTTCACATGCTTCATAGTTTATGACTGAGTCAGTTGATTAAAAACAATGGGGATAAAAGATTAGGAGTCTTCCTAAGCAAAAATTATAATGCTGGCACCCAGCATGGTGCTCCGCATCCATCCATTGAATAAATAATAAAGGATTAAAAAAATAAAGATTAATAGAAACGGTTATAGAGGATGTGTTTCAGAGATAAAACTAGGCAAGAAAATAGTCATGAAAATAGAGAATTTTAGGCTGTCTTGTTCCAAGGCAGGTTTTGTAATCCATCTGGAATAAAACAAAGATTGCCCTGCCTTCCTGTTTTTCTGCCTGAACTTGACTGCCATTGGTTTGTTCTCTGCTGAAAAATTCTAGTCTGCCCTGAAAACCATTTTTTTTAAAGGGATGGGGGAGAGTGATTGGCAGGCCTCTGGCAGTGTAGACAGGCTGTATTCACCACTGATTGCAGGCAATTGCCCTCATCCTTTGAATGTGAAGAAAGGTACAGCTTTATCTTGGTGAGAGTCAGACTCATTGTTAATCCTATACCCTAGAAAGGTCACTGATTCAGGCGAGGCTTTCCCAGGCTATACCAGGGGTATTGCTTGGAAGGTGAAAATGTATTAGAACTGCTAGCAAAACGCAGGATGGAGGATATCAGTACTTAATAAATTTAATGAGCCTGGTTTTTCTTAGGTTCTTAGGTTCTGGCTGCTCTTGGGTTTAAAGAGAGAATACGTCTAGTACAATTTTGAAGCTGACTTGTTTCACTAAATATACATGTGACCTATGTAAAAGCAAGGAGTGACACATTTTAGGGTATAATGTGGTCTATCTAGTTTCTGGAAAGCTTATATTGCAATTTAATATACTGTAGACATGTTTTTCCCCTCTCCAGAACTGCTGAAAGAGCACGTGGTCACTTTTTCTAGACACAAAATTTCTCTTGGTTGTCTTGAAGTCTATTAAAAAATACTATGCATAGCTGATTGTATACAACCCAGAACTTTTTGTGGGCTGGATGTAGGCAGTTTTTCTTTTCCTTAAATATTAGGTGTATAACATTTTACATATTATTTTAAGAGGTTAGAAATGAAATTTTATTTGTCTATAAAAAATTAGTCGTTCCAAAATACATAGTAGCCATTGAGAAATTGTGTGTCAAATTATAAAATTTGATTTCTAGATTTTATAATTGAAGAGGACTTTTTCAAGCTTAGAGTGAAGGAATGAATTGACTATTTACCACCAAGAGGTGGATTGATTGTCTTTAGAAAGTTCTTTCTCACTGAGGGTAAAAGCATACTGAGTCTTTTGATTATTCTGAAATCTCTACTTGTAGTTATAACATTTCACGTCTTTTTTGGCTGAATACTCGGGATAGTAGTTTGTCTGATAGTGACATTTGTTTGTTGTTATTGTTGCTATTTTTAAAAAGAAAAAGAAACCTGATTTGACGGTACTACCAAGTAAATATGGAAGAGTCAGAGACAGCTGACTATAGGAACAACTAAACAGGACATGAGAATAGGGGAAAGTGAGAGCTCCTGTTGGCAACACTGTAGCAAAAACTGCTGACACTGACTGTAAAATGTAAAACTAGAGGAGGATTTGTCATTGTCCCAGTGAATTGATCAATGTGGTTACACAGTTAAGTTCAGGCTGAAATGTTCACATTAGACCTGAATTATCCCGTATGAACCCTATGGAGATACCCCTATGTGCCTTCATTTACATTGATAAATGTGTTTTTCCATATTCCGTTTGTTCCGAGAGGAGAAGCATGCTGAGTAGGTTTTTTTGAAGGTGAGGATCTATTTTTGGATTTACATGAATTTCCTAAAATGAGTAAATTACTGGTGATTTATTGCTTACTGGATAAAAAGAAATTCTAATCACCACAGGGCACTTACCCTTCCCAGTTCCAACTTTTATAATGGTAGCAGATGAAAGGGATGCAGAATTTTATGCATTATGGCCCTTCACGTAGTAACATTTCCATCCATTAATAGTTTTCCATTGCACAGATGGGAAACCCGTTAAAAGATACATTATGATTCTATGTACTTCACTGGATTGAATGGAGCTATAAGTGGAGCCATTATAGAATACAAAGTTTTTAAAACTATCTTTTTTTCTTCTAATTATATTCATGTGTTAGATACTTAAGCTGATTTATACCAGATCTATATCAATGCATTACTGGAGATGTTAATGAAGAATTGGAGGTTGCCTACTAGCCTATAGGAGCCCCAAAATCATCTGCTGCTTTTAGGATTATTTTTAAAAGTCATAATGAGAGAAACTGTTACTTTAGTCACAGTGAATTCTGTGGAATTCAGACTGTCCCACCATAAAACTCTTTGTGTTAGGAAGTAGAATGCAAAGAAAACACTACCATCATCCTCTAATTTTCTTGGGCCTTCAATCCTAAATACCAACTACTATTTTATTTTTCATATCCACAGAATAGTTAGAAGCAAAACATGAATGCCTTCTTGTTTTGCTGTGTGTCTATGTTTTAAAAATAAGAATATGTACAAACTTTTTCATTGAATACATGTTCTTGAAAAGTTGTCTACTGTTACAAATGAAAGCATATTTGAGAAACACAACCACAAAATTTACTCCGTATCATCCCAGGATTACCAAAACCAGAATGGTGGGATTTTCTTTTCCCCTTTAAAGAGTAGTGATGGTGCCAAAAAAATCAATTGCCTTTTTTTTAAGGTATTAGAGAGCAAAGTTCTGACAGGAGCACCACTAATTAACTGATAATTGTCTTCCTTTGGCAAGCTCTACTCTTCCTGCCCTTAATTTGCAGGTCTGTGTTCAGTAGTTGAAACAATACACATACTAGTTTTTCATTTATGAGTAAATTTGAACTGTTGCCACTTGAAATTGTAGCTGTTGTAATAGGTGAATCTGAGGTTGTTAGACCACCACAAGGAACTGCTGAGAACTCACAGGCAGTAAATCCCCATTGCCTCTGGATTTTAGGCAAAAGATTGAAGCAATTAAAAAAAAAAAACACTTCCTCAATAAAATAGTATCTTATCTCCCATAATATGCTTTATTAGTGATGATTGATGTGCAGTAGTTTTTCATTATTGAAAGAAATATAATCAGTGTCCTATGAGAGTAAAATTACCATATGATGAAACTTTATAATTGATACATTTCCTTCGGATCTTTGCAGTGGGAGGAAGTGAGTATTATGGATGAAAAAAATACACCAATCCGAACCTACCAAGTGTGCAACGTGATGGAACCCAGCCAGAATAACTGGCTACGAACTGATTGGATCACTCGAGAAGGAGCTCAGAGGGTGTATATTGAGATTAAGTTCACCTTGAGGGACTGCAATAGTCTTCCAGGCGTCATGGGGACGTGCAAGGAGACATTTAACCTGTACTACTATGAATCAGACAACGACAAAGAGCGTTTCATCAGAGAGAGCCAGTTTGCCAAAATTGACACCATCGCTGCTGATGAGAGCTTCACCCAAGTGGACATTGGCGACAGAATCATGAAGTTGAATACCGAGATCCGGGATGTAGGGCCGTTGAGCAAAAAGGGGTTTTACCTGGCTTTTCAGGATGTGGGGGCCTGCATTGCCCTAGTATCGGTCCGCGTGTTCTATAAAAAGTGTCCACTTACAGTTCGCAATCTGGCCCAGTTTCCAGACACCATAACAGGGGCTGATACATCTTCCCTGGTTGAAGTTCGAGGCTCCTGTGTCAACAACTCAGAAGAGAAGGATGTGCCAAAAATGTACTGTGGGGCAGATGGTGAATGGCTGGTACCCATTGGCAACTGCCTATGCAATGCTGGGCATGAGGAGCGGAGTGGAGAATGCCAAGGTAAGAAGAGCCATATTGTACTTTTTTCATTAGGGCTTAGTGCACGTAATTAAATCAGAGATGAGACTAAATGGAGTAAAGCCAGTAATTAGCAGCCCCTGTGGGATGTGGTGGGACAGAGGGGTCTAATGAGTAAGTGCTATAGCTCCAGGTGGCAAGGCTAAGACATTTCTAATACTGACAAAATAAATGATGCCGCTGTAATCAGCAGAAAGCCAAACACATTTGCTAACAGGCACTTAGATCTGAACTGGCTTGATGCGCCCTCTGAAATGTAAATGAACAAGCTGAAGAAATGGCCTTGATTGATCCTTACTTAAAGAGGGCGGACACATGTTTGAGCCATAGTTTTCCTGTCTATAGACTTGGTAAAATGACAAAGATGGTAAATATCTCTTGTCTTATGTATGTGTGCATGAATGATTTAAATGTGAAATTAGGATTGCGTTGTTCCAGTTCCCTCCCACTGATTAAAATCGAGCTGTGTGAAGAAAGTCCGTTTTTTTTTCCCTGCCTTGTGAACCATTGGAGATGTGGCCAACCAAGTGGAGTGACAATGTTTCAAGTAGCTTCTGTTCCCTAAGCACCCACTGATAGGGTCTCTAAGTGAAATTAATCTTGACAAAAGACCTTTATTTCTCTTAGGAGGTGATAATAGAGCTAGCAAGAGTCTTATTTGATCTGTGGTCAAACTGGGTCACAATTTGCTATTGATTTTTGTTATTGAATTTCTGAAGAAATCAACATGATAAATATTTTTAGCATGTTAATTACTATTTATCATATTACTAAGGTGATTTTTTTCTCACCTAAAGTTTAGTGTGTGCAATTTATCCCTGCCTTATTTCTCCTTCCTGTCAAAATACTGGGGAGTTTGTAAAGTCTTTTCCTTTATAGCGGCTTTGTATCTGAGTAAGGGATGAGTAATTCATATTTAAATGGATCGTTCATGTCATGTGTGGATTAAGGCTTACAAAAATCAGTTATCCCAAGTTTTTGTCTTGTTTGGTATTTCTTTTTAGTGGTTATCGATAGTCTGCTGCCCCCAATACTGTTACGGTTACTACTAAACGGTTACAGTGTAACTCCGATCTCATCTATGGAACAGTCAGATGAATCTTTTCTCAGGGTGATTGTTGAGCTGTAGACTGCATTGCCACATGGTTCTTCTGATTTGATGATTAAAGAGCCTGAAATAACTGACTGCCAAACTATTTGCCTGGCATTTCAACCATCTTAATGACAGGGTGGGATTAACTTTGGGGCAATCCACTTGATTGACTGGAAATCAACGGTTACAACCTAAAGAAAATTGCATTTTTAGTAATTTGGTGTCATAGAGTTATGTGTTTCTCCTTTTGTAGTTTATACTTTCCTAAAGCATGTCATTCCCAATTTGCTACAGTTATTTCTGCGAGTAGTTAACAATGAATGTCCTTTAATTTCATTGTAAATAAAACAGAATAAAGACTGGCTATCTATTCTGTTGACCTAGAGTAAAAAAAAAAAAGTTGTAAACTTGAAAATGTACAAGTTGGAATTTAAAGTTTTAGATAAAGATTAATGTCTTGCTTTTTTGTTTGCTCTTGACTTAGCAACTACTCGATAAGCTTTTCTAAATTGAAACCTTGAAGTATATTCTGGTATTAATATTAGAAAATGTGTGAATGCATTGTTATTGGCAACTAAATTACAATGATCATAGCAGGAACAGCGAAATCAGCAGGGCAATGACACTCCATCACATTTTAGAGTAAATTATTCTGCCTTTCTGATTTTTATAAGATAGGCCTTGCACATCTTCACATGTCAAGATTCTTATGTATGTTTTTTAATAAAACACCATTGGCTTCCATTTCCTGCTAAAATGTTCACTCTTTTAGCATTAGCACATCTTCGTGTATCTAATGTCATTGATTTTCAATTGTCACAGAGCCTAGTAACTCATACATTGCTAAATTGTGAAACTCCTTGACATTTTTACAACCCAAATTAGAAGGAAAAGAGAAAAAGATAGTGGGAGAAGTGAATGTAAAGGCAATTGAACATTTTAGTGGTTTACTTTATGGAAATAATCTTGGGAATCCAGTTAATCATGTGGTTCATGGAAGGGAAGGACAAGCTACATGTTTCAGGTCCATTTCTGAGCTGTTAATGGCAGGGGAAGGTTGAGCCTTTTTTGAGAACTTTCAGTGTTTTCAGGCATGCTACCCAGGTTTTTTGTTTTGCTTTGTTTTTGTTTTTTGCTGCCAATAAAATGATTAACTCTTTCAAGGCACATCTTGCACAAACCTTGCACTTTGTGTGCTTATTTATTTTTATTATTACCAAGTGAGAATTTCTGATGAATTTAGGAAAGAAGGAAAAACACGAACGACAGGGGATTCTCAAACTCCAAACTCGAGCGAGACTTTTTAAAGATTGATTACTCAAGACTCTAAAAGTCTTAGGAGTAATAACAATGGTAGATCCTATTTTTGACATCATTACTGGTATCAGAGAAGCAGCCAGGTATAGAGGAAAAAATATGGAGATAAGAAAATGCATCTCAGTTTAGTCTCTTAGCCGTATGACCTTGGCACGTTTCTTAAGCCCCCTGAGCTTTGTTTTGTTCATCTATAAAATGGAATGGTAACAATTATACTTAGTTTACAGACTTGCTGTGAGGACTTGATGATATAAGATTGTTAAAAGTCATCTTGCAGATCATAAAACTCCTTAACACTAGCATTTTTTGTCTTCTCAAGGTCATGTTGACTTTCAGGAGTGTTGAGTTGAAATAGTAAAAGGGAAATCCATCTCCTGACCACTCTTTGAAGTCAAAGCTAAAGATAGGAAGCATCCCTATCCTTTGTCCTAACAAAGAACAATATACATTTTCACACTTCATATTGAAAATAATATTTGGAGAGTGTCATTTTTTCCCTCCTCTATAGGAAAGAGAACTTTCTTTTGAATGAAAAAAAAGTGATTTGTGGGTAGAACAAGAAAGAGAGTGTAAAGAGAGCCTAAGAAGGAATACAAAGGAGAACTGGCCAAGTCTTCAGAACTCTGGCAGCAGGTTCCTCCCCAATTGTCTTTTCAATGGTTCCACTGTGGCAGGACAAATAGAAGAACAGGTGAAAGGTCACCTACTTCCTCATCCATCTTCCTTAGGGTCTGGGAGGTCAGAGTGAAGATTGATTAAGATCTTAAATGTTTGACAAAGGATCCTTGGGCAAAAATGGCCAGGGCCGGCGGGGGCCTGGGGTATGCTGTTGTTGGAATCTAACCCTGATCATCCTCCAGAGTCTTCAAGGGACCTTGGGGACAGAACTACACTTCCTCTTGCAGTTTTTACCCCCAGCAGTGCATGCTAATGGAGAGGAAGGATGAGGGATGGGCGAGGGGTGGGCTTGCCCTCCGAAGAAGCTGCAAGTTCATTCTGCTTTTGAATAACATTTTCTGAAAAGATTTGATCTGGTCTCAGTAAGACAACAAAGAGTGTTACCCACTTATCTGTCCTCTCAAGGAGAATGGACTGGAGTTAGGAGCCCTTTGAACTTGCCTAGTGATTGGGTGCAGAGGATAACGTAATCATTCTAGTTTGGTTACCAGGCCCCATCAGACTTTTGGAAAAAGAAACAAAATCCACTTTAGATATCTCCTCCCCTGACACACCCCCAGTGAGGAAATGTTCAAGATGTTTTATGGGTTGTTTTCATTTCCTCAAAAATATTAAGCAAGAAAAAGAGAGGAAAAGATTCTTCATTAACTATTTTTTTTTTTGCCTAATTAAAAAGCTGAAAAATGAAAGGAGAGCTCCAGATATACTCTTTGGGAAATATTAATCAGCAATATTTTCAGAGAGTATATGTAAAAATAATACTAATAAAAGAAAAAGATTCTTATGGAATCATTTTAAGGCCAAATAATCACAAATGTGACAAAGTGAAGCCAGGTAGGAATCAAGCCTTGTTAGAATATATAATTTTGCTATAAATTGAGGTCATAGATCTCTAAAACCTGTGTTGTATATCATTATATATAAAATACATTCATATCAACAAAAGGTATCTTATTAAAAGTTCTTTTAAGAAAGAACAAAATAGAAATGCTTCGATGGGTGTAAAATAGAGATATTTTAAATTCGTTCTCTGAAAAGAGGGAGAGAGCTGTGTCAAAAAAAAAAAATGATTACTGTTTTTCAAATATACTGTAGAAGGACCTTGGGAGAAAGAAGTAATGGAAAGAAAGCATTTAAAATATAGTTCACAGAGAAGCTGTTTCATATTCTTTCCACTTTTGAAATTTTTCTTCTACCTTTGAATCGTGTCATTAAGAATCAATTGCTTGAATCACATGGCTGCTTTTATCTCTGGTTTTGAAGCATGGCTGTGATCATTGAAAAACGTAATTCTTTATCTACTAGAAGAGCAGAGTTTAATTATTGTCCTTTTTCTGTTGTACTTTTTATTTTTTTCTTCTTTGTGTGACTAGGCTTCTTTAGTGAGTGTGAATCATGCAATGGTCTCTATTTTGGGTTCACCAAAGCATCACATGGAAATTATCTTAGGGATTTTTTAATATGGTATTCACAATTTGATGACTTATTTTAGCCTAACTGAGCTTCCTTGTACCTTTCAAAAATGAATTAAGACATAATTATTCTGTTAAGACGTAAGCCTCTAGGAAAAAGCCTGATTAAGTGGTTTTTCAGTTACTGCTGTGCAAAGCAGAAGTGGTCATGATACAAGTTTGACTTTCGCATCACTGAACTTCACTACTTAATTTGGGGGGGTTTTATCGATGGATTTCACATTACTGAAGAACTGCATGCTTGTCGGAAAAATTTCCAGTGCAGGATCGTATAAAGGAAAACGCGTAAGTCTTCCACCCCATCCATACACACACTGTTTTCAAACTCTTACTCCAACTTTTTATAAATTATCATTTTTCACAACTTGTCAGCCAACTCAAATATACTATAGGCCAGGCATGGTGGCTCATGCCTGTAATCC